TATGTTGGACATCAGGAAGAATTTCTTCCCAGAAAGGGTGATTAAACATTGAAAGGGACTGCCCAGGGAGGTAGTGGAGTCCCCATCCCTGGAGGTGTCCAAGAAATGACTGGATGTGGCACTCAGTGCTCTGGTCTGGTTGACAAGGTGGTGATCAGTCACAGGTTGGCCTCGATGATCTTGGAGGTCTTTTCCAACCTCAGGGATTCTGGGATTCTGTGTCCCGTGTCCTCAAGCTGCTTCTCCACACCACAGTGGCCTGGGAATGCTCTGGCAGCAGTTGGCTCTGCCAGCACCCTCTGCCAGCCCAGAGTGGCACTGGTGCCATTTCAGCTCCCATGGATGCTGCTTCCCCCTTCCCCATTCCTGGTGCTGTTTCCTGGGGCCTCTCCCACTTCCACAGTTTTCCAGCCCAGCTCCTGGCTGAAGCCCTGCTGTCCTCAGGTCCCGCTTCCCCTCCTTGGACACAGTGTCTGTGTGGAACAGACAGGGAAGGGGGGATATGGGAACTGTTTCACCTGCTCCCAAAAGGGAGACACCTCCTGGATTTGTACTGAGTTCCTGGCAGGCAGAACCCCCCCGGGGTATTAAAGCTGCAGTTCAACAGCATCCGTGTGTCTGTCTCTTGTGTTTGTCCTGTGTCTGCCCTCCCTGCAGGAGGGGATCTCTGTCCCTTGGGAGAGGTTTGGGGGCTGGGGGTGTGTCCAAGCCTGGTGACAGTCAGGGGTGAGGGGCGCCTGCTTTATTCCACATGGTCCCAGCTGGGGGTTGCCAGTCAAGTGCCTGGCACAGAGCAGTTTTCCCTCCCTGGGTCACGTTTCCGCAGGGAGCAGCAGCTGGAGGGGAGGGGCAAGAGGGAAGGCTGTGCCCGGGGTAACCGCTGGGGCTGGGGCTGGTGACCCTCGTGCTGGTGACCCCGGCCAGCTGTCCCCACACCCTGGGAGGTGGCTCAGGGGGTCTGTGTGGTGGCATTCGCCAGGCACCGCTGTCTGGCCTCCCGCGGGTGCCGGCTGTGCTCGGCGAGCTCCAGCGTGTCCCGGAGCAGCTCCTGCAGCAGCGCCCGGTGCCGGCGCTCCAGCGCCTCCCGCTGCTCCCCCGCCAGGCGCCGCTGGTCTCGCAGCACCTGCGGGATGCCCGGGCTGTCTGGCACGGCCCTGGCACCGCCGGGAGGCGAGTGCCCAGCCCTCCCTGCCCACCTGCAGCAGGTGCTGCCTGCAGCCCTGCAGCTCCCGCTGGTGATTCCGCAGCAGGGCCTCCAGGTCCCACTCGGCCGCCTCCCGCTCCCGCAGCGCTGCCTCCAGGCTCAGGCCCAGCACAGCCACCTCCTGCTGCCAGCGCACTGTGTCCCACTGCGGGGGACAGGGACAAGGGCACGGCAGCTCTGGGGTGTCCCTGCTCCCTGGAGCTGCCCTCGGGAGAGCAGCACCAGGGCAGCAGACCCGAGGGCAGGGTGGTGGGGTGTGGCTGTGCCCACCTCCCCGCTGTGCTCCCGGGCTGGCCCAGCCCCGGCCCCGAGCTCCTGCTGGAGGTGCCGGCAGTGCCGAGCCCGCAGCCGCTGCCGCTGTGCCCTGGCCAGGGCGTGCTGGACCTCCAGGGATGGGCATGGCTGGCACTGGCTCCCCGCCTGGCACAGAGTGGAGCGGTCTGGGGTGGCACCGAGATCCAGTGCTGCCAGTGCAGAGCGCTGCAGGCACTGCACAGGGACCCCGTGAGCTCCCACTCACCGTGTCACCCCTAGGCCATGGCTGTGGCTGTGGCATTTCACTTTGGGACAGCTCCTCCAGCAGCTCCTGCCCTGCACTGTCTGGAGCTCTGCTGTCCCCTCCCTGGCTGCACCCACTGTCATCCCGTCCTGCATGGGGACAGGGGAGGAGGATGAGTGTGACGTGGAGGCTGAAGAAAGCCACTCAAATGGAGGAGGGAGGCCTTTCCCACCCCGTAGAGCCATGCTCCGTGCCCACATATCCGCCACCCAGGTGTGGGATGCATGTCTGGCCCCGTGCTCCGGACCTGCTGGCTCCAGGGTGGCACTGGTCTGGGTCCCAGGCTGGCCT